GCTATATATATAAATAATACTTGCCTCTAAGGAGCATCTTGGTCAAACTTTATCCAAAACATGCCTGTTACTCAATATTCTTCATCATCACCACAATTCAAAGGCATTAATTCTTTTTCTAAAACAATCTTTTAGATGCTTATGAAGCAAATGGAAATACCATGGCTTGCATCAGGGACGCCTTAAGTGTTTAAACTGACATCCTCATTCTTGAGCATTTTTGAAAGGTCCTTAACAGCAGATTTTGCCAATGCAACATGTATTCTGACTTCTTGACTGTGGACCCAAGTAAAATGGAATTGTTAACAACTTCAATTTTTTCATCTATCATGATGTTGTCTACTGGTCTAGCTGTGAGACCTCTTGATGTTGAGATGCAATCCATATTGAAGGCTATAGACTTTGGTCTTCTGCATAAATGCTTCAAATGTTCTTCACTTTCATGGACAAGGTTGTGGCATCTGTATAACAGAGTATGTTGATGAATCTTCCTCTAATCTTGATGTCTCAATAGTCTACATATTATAGTTCAACTTCTCGAATAATCTGCTCATCATACAGACTTAACAGGTATGGAGGAAGGCTACAACCCTGATAGACACCTGTCCTGATTTTATGCCATGCTGTCTTTCCTTGTTCTGTTCAAACAATTGCTCTTTAGTTTAAATATAGATTTTACAAACCACTTCCTAAAATGTTTCAGCACCAGTCAACTTTTTTTTTTTGTACAATGATTTTGTGTTTCTTCCATTTTCTTTTGATGCTTCCTGCATCATTCAATATTTTGCCTAAAGAATGCTTCAGCATTGCAATTCAAGGTTTAAACTGGTCTTCAGTTCTTTGCATTTGAGAAATGCCAATTGTGTTTTCTCTTTCAATTTTCTAACTCCAGCTTTTTGCACATTTTGTTACAGTACTTGCTTTCTTCATGGATGACATCCTTCACGTTATTCCACAATTCATCTGGTTTTTGATCAGTGTTCAATGCATCAAATTTATTTTTCTGATGATTTTTAAATTCAGTTAGCATAGACTCAAGATCTTATTTTGGTTCTCATTGACTTTCTTCCATTTCTACTTGAACTTGCATGTGTGTAATTGATGGCGCTTTTAACAATCATCTCCTGGCTGTATTTTGACTGCTGTTACGAATCTTCTCCACTGCCTTTTTCTGTAGATATAGCGTGTCTGATTCTTGTATAATCCAGCAGGTGAGGTCCATGTATATAGTAACTGTTTATGTTTTTTAAAAAGTTATTTGCAGGTAATAAATCATTGATTGACAAAATTCTATCATTCTATCTTCAGCTTTTCCGTCACTAAAGACATACTTTTCAACTACTAACTGGTAGTGCTTGCTGGTATTTGAAATTCTGGAAGCTATCACAACAATACAAAAGCCAGCACAGAACAACAAACAAGCCATTCTAGTGGGAGCAAAACACTATCTCTCTGTGGTTCTGATTTGTATCTCTCTGATGAGGAATAACATTGAACATCTTTTCATGTATTGACTGCCATTTGAATATCTTCTTTGTTGAAATAAAGATTCTAGTCCTTTGCTCATTTTATAATTACATTATTTGTCTTTTTTGTTGTTAGGGTATTGGCAGGTTCTATATATTTGGGTTATTACATTCTTACTGGAACTAGTTTATGAAGATATTCTAAAGATACTGGTAGTTTGTCTTTTTATTTTCGTTAAGTTTCTTGATGAGCAAATGTAAAAACCTTTTTGTGACTGCTGCAATGGGCTCTAGCGTGGCAGGAAGTAGAGGATGGCACAACGTAGAACAGGGGGTATGTGTTCAGTTCATAGGGTCACTATGTACTGTATTCAACTTGATGGCACCTAACACCACACTATTAAAAGTTAGGCCTGATGGCACTGCCCATGCACTTTCTTCTAAAAATATAATTAATTAAGTTTTCGTATTTTGTTTTTTTCAAATTTACTTCTCGCATAATGTGAAGCAAGGGTTGCATTTCATTTTTATGCATGTAGAAATTCATTTCCTCAAGGTCATTTACTGAAGAACTCTTCTTTCCCTACTGAATAGATTTGGAAGCCTTGCCAAAAATCAATTGCCCACAAACATGTGGGCTTATATCTGGACTCTCAATTCTATTTGACTAGTCTGTCTGTATGTCTACTGTTATGTTAATTCCATATTGTTTAGATTATTATGGTTGTTTATGTTTTACAAAATTGCATTAGCTATTTGAGTATTCTTGTCATTCCATATAATGTTAACGAATGGTGTTTTATTTCTGTAAAGAAGGCTGATGGAATATTGATCAAGACTGCATTCAATCTGTCATTTAGGGTAGGATTGATATCTGAACAGTATTAAGCCTTCCAATCCTTAAAACATCAATTTGTTTTCCTTAATCTCTATTGAGGTCTGGTACCCTTGTCCATAGGGAGTTACAATGCTAATCCCAAAACTCTGCATCTCTGTGAGTCTGGGAAAAGTATGGGCAATCTCCTCTCGTGTTATTATCTGTCTTGGAAATCCATTGAAAGGTCTATTATGAGTTGGGTCTGACTTTACAGCAATGAGTGAGTGAATCTGTGCAGGATTTTATGATTTTCATTGTAAAAGACTTTCACAACCTTGATTAAATTTATTCATAGGTATTTTATTGTCTCAGAAGTGATTGTAAATAGAATTTCTCCAATGGTTGGGGTGAGCTTTCCCTTTTAAGATTATTGTTGCTAGTGACACCCAAATGATTAACTGTTGACCTTGTACCCTACAATTTTCTGAAATTTGTGAACTCTATATAAACTTTCTTGTGTACTCTTCACAATTAACTATACATAAGACCATGTCACCTATAGATATCTTTCTTTTTGTTTTGGAATCTAGCTTTTATCTCTTTTTTCTTGTTTTGTTGCTCTTGATAAGAAAGTTAATATAATACTACATAGAAGTAATGGGGTGGGGAGAAGTAGTAATGACAATAGGTCTTACTCTCTTTTGAAAGGGGAAAGTGCTTGATCTTTCTCACTTATATGCCCTAAATCATACCAAAGATTTTTCCTTTTATTACAATCATAGTACTGAATTTTCTCAAAACGTATTTTCTGATATGGAAATATGGTTCTCATTCTTAGTTTTATTGATTTAGTATATTATGTTGATTGATTTTTCTCAGGTTGAACCAGTCATGCATTCCTAGAATTCATTTTCAATGGTTATGGTGTATGACTTTGAATATATTGTCATTACTTTAAATGAATAAGGGTATTTCATCATTATTTTTCTATCTTCACAGTTTTGTTATCCTGTTACCTTTTACCACACATTGTTGAACCTCTTGGCAATCCTTATGGCCTATCCATCCAGTTTCTCACTAGACTTGCTCTATTTTTGTCTCTGCTGGCATACGCAAAGCAGAGAGGTAGATGTGTTTTTCTAGAGTTTAATCTTCAACATTTTGCCTGTGTCTGAACAATGACAAATTCCACAGAACTTTGATTAGACTACTCCCTCCTTAGCAAGACTTCCTAGATGCCTACTCAATGTTGTGTGCCGTTCCAATGAGCAGAGGGCTTTATACTTTTTTAAAAAGATAGGAGTAGTAGTGGTAGTAGTAATAGTAATAATAGTTATGCTTCTGGAATCTGTTATTTGATTAAGATTACTAAAACTGTAAAAATATATGGGCATGAACATGACATTCCATGAACTGTAACATTTAACAGGCTTTTTAAAAAAAATAAACTTCTATCTTTCTTAATCATACAACAAAACCAAAAATTCATAAGAAAAAAAATATTCATTCTAACAGACCACAATCTAGGCCAATGAAGCAGTAAGAAATTCTGTGTTTAACAAGTGACTAGATACAAGTGTTCTTTAACTAAAAAAATATGTAAAATTACTACCTGTATTAAAGAAGTTATTCCTTCCCCGAATCCAACTGCAGATTGAAGTTGCATATAGAGGACTCTTTTAAACATTATTCTAACAGGCATGCATAAAATATTTGTAAAATGAAAAAAAATGTTTTGATGTAAACAATAAGCCCAGTACAAAAAGTGGAGAGGAAGTAAAAATCAATGATAAACAAACTTCACAGCCCCGGTGTGTGTAGCAGGCACATTCTAAGTACAAAGAAAGCTCCTCACATCTTTGTCTCCAAGGGTCTCCAGCAGAAGGAGCAGGATAGTTTTGAAGTGCTCTTCCCAGACCCCCAGGTTGTCCTCTCGGGTAATCTTGAGTAGCTCCAGCAATGCTCCTTTCCGCTCCTCTACTCGTTCGTTGTGGTTAGACAACTCTTTCAGAAGATCAGCCACCAGGTCAGAATGATCAATCGGTACTTGGGAAACAAACCAAGACAGAAATTAGTTGCTCAGGAAAAGCCCAGTGGGGGTGGTCCCTCCATGACATTTGGCATCCTCTCACATATCTGCAAACTCCCTAGGGGTGCTTGTTCTTCCTTCACCACACTTTTCACCCTGTTTTGTGGCCAGGCCCCATTTTCCCCCATCATCAGATCCTCTCATCAAATTAACTGTGAAACAGAGGGGTGACAGTATATGTGACACATTAATATTCAATGTTTTCATCCTTATATTTGCATAATATCTTTCCTCTCCTATTTCAGGAGAAAATAAACCCCATCCTTAGTCATCTTCTTCTTCCACCTATTCTTTTCTCTCCTGCCACAGTTTGAAGTTACACCTGAGATACGGCACATCCTCTACCAGTGTCCATTCCACTCAAGCACATTTTCCTCATGGTCCACTTTAGCACCATCATTAATTCTCACTTACTCTCTTTTCTAATGTTCAGCGCTTAGTAATCTACACAGTAAACAAATACCAATAGAAGTATCTGGACAAAACAAAACCTGCTTTTCTTAAATCTAACTTTCCTGGAAAGTACCATAATTAACTCATGAATTAAGTTTTAAAGTATGCCTTTCAGATGCAGAAGAAAACAATCTGAAGGTACCATAAATCAACATGAAGAGAACTTTTTCCACCTGGCTTCTGAGCATCACAACATAGCACTCCTCTGAAAGAGTGAGTGCCCCCTCCAGAGCAATCTCATTTTGAATGATGGCATGCATTCCTAGATGACTCTGGAGCAATTTCATTCTCAACTTACAGCATGCATTCCCAAAGTCTCTGCAATACAGCAGCCCTAGGCTAAGGCCTGAACTTCAACCCTCTCTCTGTGTTACTGACTCTCTATTCAGACTGAAAGACTTGTCCAAGATTACTGAACTTAAGTACTTGCAGGGCTGAACGTAAGTACTTGCACGGCTGTAAACTATGGTTTAGGTAGCAGAAATGCTTATTCTTTTTCATTCTATATTCTTTTAAAAGATCTTGAATTGGGATAATCACTTTAAACAGAATGAAGAAAAACTAAAGGAAAATCCTCACCACTGAATCAATAGGTTACATTAACAGAGATAGAAAATTTTATTTTACTTAGATTAACAGCAATATCCATATTAGTAGTAGTCAAAAAATCAAGCTGTGTTACACAAGCAAGTCTGCTGTTAAGGATCTCTTTAAAGTGCCAAAGAGCAAGGATGTCAGTTGTGCCTGACTGAAGCCCATGGTATTCTTAATAGCTTCCCGCAGATCTGGAAGTTGGACAATGAATAAGGAAGACTGAAGAACTGATGACTCTGAACTATGGCACTGGCAAACAGTAATGAATATTTTATGAGTTGCCAAAAGATGTGTCCTGGAGGAAAAGCAACCAATGTACTCCTCAGAAGCAATGATGGTGAGACTTCATCTCACCTACTCTGGGCATATTGTCAGAAGGGAAATATTGACCTTGGAAAGACACCAGGCTAGGAAAAGAGGAGGACCAGTAAGAGAAGAGCAAGGTTTTTATCTGTTGTTCACATGGTCACTGTGAGTCGGAGTTGACTAGATAGCACCTACAACAACATCACAGTTAGGTTATGCAGGGAAAGGTGGGAAAGCTCGAGCTCCACGGGATTGCGTTGCTGTTAAAAGGTAAGAGGATTGGCAGTTTTCTGTCTTTGAAAGGATGTGATCTTACACCTGTTCCTAGGGGGAAATACTTAAATTTTCTTTCTCTGACCTACACCAACTAAGAATTCACAGGCTTTGCCATTCGCATACTTGCAATACACTGAATTCAGCACAAGGCAATGCAAGCATTCACAAATGTTAGGTCTGCTCTCACCCAAGGACAGGAAGAAGTCAATGCAAAGAAGTGCAGCAAGACTTGGTTAAATGCCGAGCGAGGAAAGAGGCAAGTGGCTCAGTCATGCCCTGGAGCTCACGTCCAGAGTTAATGAACTGAAAAAGTATAGCCCGGAGTCTTTAATGCAGAGCCCTGTGCTGGCACTGTGGAGTCTTTGCTTTTCACAGTCAATGCATGATTCTCTCAATTTGCCTGCAGATCGCCATCAAGCCCTGGCCTTCGGTGTCTTTCCCGACCTGCCCAATTCAATGTTTCCCCCTGCATCACTGTGATAGAGACAGTTTTTTATGGCTTGTATGATTATTTCATGACTGTTTCCCTTGCTAAGCTTTGCATGGATTTGTTCATGTGGTCCCCACCTTGCTGGGCACACAGTAAGAACTTAACAAGTAATTGTAGAACAAAAGCCAAGGCAGAAGAGTTGCTTTAAGATGGGGACAATCAATAGAGAAATACCAACCGTCTCGCAGCTGCTCCATGTCATCGTCAAACACGGCCTCCTTGAGGGCTGTCTTGTCGTAAGAGTTGATGGTGTCTGAGTAGGGGTAGGGATTGTACTCTCGCGCACGAGGCCCAGGGAAGGCCCGAGGAGGCTGAGTGTTGAGGAGGGAGGTCTTGTTATCCAGCGCTGTCCGGCTGCCCTCTATCACCTCATTGCCTCCTCGGCCATCAGTGGCAGGAGAGGCAACTCCTCCATCGCGTGACACCTAGAACACAGGAAACTGTCAGTGCCTCCTCACAACTTGAAACTACTATAAAAGAAACAGTATGGTTACATGTTCACTTATTCATTCATTACTTAGATGTAAAACCAATTAATATTTAATCTTTGTAATCTGGTGAAAAATTTTATTATCTTTTTTTTTTTTTGAAAGGGGAGAGTGACACTTTTTTTCATGCATTCCTTAAGCGTCTGAATGAAATTCTGAAGCATTATGAAAATAAAGGCTGTACCCCTGGTGTATTCTTAACAAAATACAAATGAGAGAAGATCTTCAAAGTGCCGTCACAAAATTTAAGGTGGTCCACTACTTGTGAATTCCTACTCCAATGGAGCGCCAGACAATGAAAGCACATTGATACCAAAGCAGTGCAGAGCTCAGTCACTCATATAGATACCAATATGAATGTTTTAATTTGTTGTTGGTTTTCATTAACTTTTAAAGTATTTTGAAAGTTTATAAATCAGATTTCATTTTCAATCATTGTTGAATATTTTGTTTTATAACATTAAATTCAATTTATGACTCTCATTAATAACAATGTCTAATATTATATATTTAAACTCCTGGTCCATGGGCTGGCCTATACGAGTTTTGATTCTCAGGGGACCTCTTTCTCAGGACCATGTGCTGTCTCAGGAACTGTTCCCTTCAAAGGGAAGCAATGTCATAGCACATGTGGCCTTGCTTACTGTGGGGACAGAGTAACACTGTGATCCTCCTCAGCACAGACACTGGGCAGTGACACCAGTGAACACCTTGCTGAGCAGCCAGGCCACAGTAATTATTCCAATGACAAAATGATTACTTGTGCTGTTACCAAACCTGCTGCCATCCAGTCAATTTGGGCTCACAAGACCTCCCACTGGATTGGTGAGAGCTTTATAGGACCATGACTGTTGTTCTCTACTGGAGAAGATGCTGGATTAGAACTACCAAACTACACTTCTGCTGTCATCAAATCATAGCTACTCTAGGATCTACAGATCTAAACTTTGCCCTCACACTCAGTTAGTCATGGTGTTAATCCATGCCGGTGAAGGTCTTCCACTCTTTCTCTGACCTTTCCCAGCAGCACATTTTTTCCTAAGGACTGGCCTAGCCAATATCCCCAAAGTGTGTGAGATGACGTTTCACCATCCTTGTCTCTAAGGACCACCACTGTTCTACCTCCTCCAAGACGTACAAATTTGTTCTTTTGGAATCCGTGGTATAGAGTTAGTACTCTAACATCACAATTCAAAGGCGTCAATTCTTTGCTTCTGTCATTGCTATTCACTGTCCAACTGTAATGAAAAGACTATGGCTTAAATTAGGCACAACTTAGTCTTTTAAACCAACTTCTTTGCTCCTGAGCTCTTTACAGAGGTCTTTGACAGCACACTGTCCCAGTATGACACGTCTTTTGATTTCTGAACTATCTATTATCATGGATGCTAATTGTGGATACAAGTAAATAACTTCAATCATTCTTTCATCTATCATGGTATTGCCTACTGGTCCAGTAGAGAAGATTTTGTTTTCTTGATGTTGAGAAGTAAGCCATAATGAAGGATGTAGTCTTAGAAGTCTTTTGCAGCACCTGCTCTTTTTGCAAATAAGGCTGTGTCAGCTGCCTAACAGGTTGCTGATGAATCCTACTTCAATCCTGAGACCACACTCTTCTTCATATAGTCAGTCCACCTTTTGTTTAGCCACCAATATGTTACCCACTATGCCCCAGAGATGCTCTGATAAGATGTACCCTTCATTCACTTCCTGCTATGTGATTTAAGTTTCCTCAAGAAGACTGAATATACACTGTCTTAAGAACATTTTTCATATGAATGGAAAAGAATTTTTCTGGGTTACCCACTCCCCTTTCTAACTATCTTCTCCATTATCTTTTCAATCTATATGCAGAACACATCATTCAGGAGGCTAGGCTTTATGAGGAGAAATGTGGCATTAGGTTTGGAGGTACACTCATCAACAACCTATGTTATGCAGAAACACAACCTTGCTTGCTGAAATAGAGGAGGACCCAAAGCACTGTGGCAGAAGGTCAAGGACTATGGATTGAAGCACAACATAAAGAAAACAAAGAATCTCACCACTGGGCCAACTGGCAACACCATGATGGAGAAGAGATTGAGGTTGTTAACAATTACAGCTTGTTTGGCTCCACAATCATCACTTTTGGCATCAGCAGTCAGGAAATCAAAAGATATACTGCACTGGAAAAATCTGCTGTTAGAGCCTTCTCCAGAGACTGAGAATCAATGAAGTCAGTCTGGAAACTAAGGTGTTCCTGATCCAGGCCATGGTCTTCGCAATTACTTGCTATACATCAGAAAGCTGGACAATGAATAAGGATGACAAGAACTGATGCCTTTGAGTTCTGGCGCTGGAAAAGAGTCCTGAACATACCATGGACCACAAGAAAACAAACATGTCTGTCTTGGAGAGGGTGAAACCGTATTTCTCCTTAGAAACTAGGATTTTTTTTTCTTCTTAAGCCTTATTTTTTTAATAATTTTAATGAGCATTTACAGAGATTTTGGATTTCCATTCATTCACTGCTGCACTTCTCTCCCTGCCCAGGCCCTCCCCCTGCCCCCATTCGCTCCTCTCTTTCAAAAGTAAAAGAAACACTCCCTCCCTGGTACACAATCCCCCCGCACCCCTCCTGCCACCCCAAGTACATTCCACTATGCAACCTTAATTGTGGACTCTTGTTAAACTAGGATTTTGAAGCTCCGTCTCACATACTTTAAGTATATGGCCAGGAGGGGCCAGTCCTTGGAGAAGGACATCCTCTTTAGAACGGTGGAGGGACAGTGCAGGAGAGGAAGACCCTGAATGAGATGGATTGATATAGTTACTAGGGCAATGGAGGCAGGAATGTCAGAGTCAGTGAGACAGGCTCAGGATAGAGCAGGGTTTAGAGCTATTGTACATAGGGTCTCTATGAGCTACAGACGACTCCACAGCACCTAACAATAACAACTATCTTCTCAAACTTATCATATAATGGGAAAATTATACACTAAAAGGCTTTTTAAGAAGTCACACATGTTAAAAGTAAGCCAAAACATCCTAATTCTAATAATCTTTAAAGTCTTTTGCATGTGATAATAATGATATTGTTCAGTAATTTCTTCATTCTGTTGGATCACCATTTTGGGGGATGGGAACAAATATGGATTTCGTCCAGTGAGTTTGACAAGTCATTGTCTTCCAATTTAGGTATGTCCTGCACATAAAGGTATGACCAGGGCCTCATATGTTTGTTAAAACACCTCTACTGATACTCTCAATTCTTAGGACCTTATTTTTCTGCCAATGCTCATGCAGTTTGCATTTTTCCCCTCGTTATGTCAGCTCTTAATCATATAGTTCTTCTTAAAAATATTTCAGTGTTGAACAATTCTTTTCAATACAGTGACTTTGTATATTTTGAAAGGTCTTACATCATCCAAGATTTTGCCCGTAGAATCCTTCAGTACTATAACTTGAGGGATAAATTCATTCTTCTGCTTTTTATCAGCTTGCGAAATGTGAAGCATGTTCTTCCCTTTTGGTTTTCTAACTTTAGCTCTTTGTGTATTTTGTAATAATAGCCTTATTCGATTGAGTCTATTCTTCATTTTCAAATAGATAATATACTAGCTCCTGAATCTATCATATTTAATACCGTTCACATGTATCCCGACCCATTATTGGGAAGTTAGATCTTTTATTGCTGAGATGCTGAATTTGAATCTACACAGCTTCTCAATTTTCACTTCTAATAGATGTGCTTCCATGTCATCATTCTCTCCAAGGCCTGGGCCCATCTCTTGATTATCACATTTTTATGGATGACTTCCTGACTCCCACTTTCTATTCTTGCAGCAGCTCTCTCACATCCTTCCTCCCACTCGGTCTGTCCCATGATTAACACTGAGGTTTCAGCTTTTGTGCATTCTTCCTATCAAACTCTACTCTTTTAAACTTTAAGCATTGTTGTTATGTGCCATCGAGTCGCCTGCAATTCATAGCGACCCTATGTACAACAGCCCTAAACCCTGCTCTATCCTGTGTCAATATCAATGTGTCTGACACACCCAACCCCATTACCCCAGTCACTGAATCAATCCATCTCATAGAGGGGCTTCCTCTCCAGTGCTGTCCTTCCACCCTCCCAAGTATGGTGTCTCTCTCCAAGGACTGGTCCTTCCTTGCAACATGTCCAAAGTATGTCAGATGAAGCTTCAGAATCCTTGTCTCCAAGGAGCAGCCCGGCTTCACCCTCTCCAGGACAAACCTGTTCATTTTCTTAGCAGTCCAGGGTATATTCAATATTATTCTCCAGCATCACAGCCCAATGATATCAATTCTCCTTCTATCCCCACTAGTCATTGTCCAGCTCTCTGATGCATAGCAAGTGATTGCAAACACCATGGCCTGTATCAGATGCACCTTAGTCTCCAGAGTGACACCACTGCTCTTCAGCAATCTGGAGAGGTCCCTAACACCCGACTTTCCCATCGTAATGTCTTTTAATTTCCTAGCTGCTGGTGCAAAGAGTGTTGACTGTGGAGCCAAGCAAACTAAAGCTGTCAACAATCTCAATCTCTTCACCAACCATCCTGATGTTGCCAATTGGCCCACTGGTGAGAATCTTTGTTTTCTTGATTCTGGGCCTCAATCCACATTGAAGGCTGTAGTCCTTGACCTTCTGCAGCAAGTGCTTCAGGTCCTCTTCAGTTTCAGCAAGCAGGGTTGTGTCATCTGCAGACTGTTGATGAATCTTCCACCAATCCTGATGTCACAATTCTTCTCAAACAGCCCAGCCTCCCGGATAATCTGTTTGGCATATAGGTTGAAAAGGTATGGAGAGAGGACACATGTCTGGCGTACACCCTTCTCAATTTTACCATGCAGTGTTTCCTTGCTCTGTTCTGATGACTGCCTCTTGGTCCAAGTATAGATTTCACATTAGCATGATCAAGTGTTCTGGGATTGAGTCAGCCATAGTTTGTTGTGATCTACATAGTCAAATCCCTTTGCATAATCAATGAAATGCAGATAGAAATTTGTTTGGTACTCTTTGCTTACAGCCAAGATCTATTTAACCTTAGCTACACTATCCCTAGTACCACAACCCCTTCTAAACGCAGCCTGAACTTTTGGCAGTTCTCTGTTGATGTGCTGTTCCAGTCATTTTTTGGATAATCTTTGGCAGACTCTTGCTTGCATGTGATATTTCAGCATAGTCTTTCAGAATTTGAAAAACTGAAAGCACCTAACTGTTAATTAAAAAAAAGTAGGACACTGGCATATGGTTATGGCATGTCCATCAGTTGAATTATCAAACTCAATCCAAATTCATGGACAAATCAGAACCAACACATAGCTGACTGGCCAGTGGGTTTCCATGGCTGTAAATCAGAGGGGAGGAGACTATCCATCTTTCTCTCTAGGAGGGACCAGTGGAGTCCATCTGCCAGAGAGTTGCTGCCTTTGGGTTAGCAGTGCACCTCCCTATGGACTAGCTCCTGCTGAATTATCACAAATAATCACATGTAACAGGACTCACAGGGGAAAGCATCCATCTTTTATGCTAAACAAGATACACAAAATGATGTCACTATTATTAAAAACATATATGTGACATGGGTTGAATTTTGTCCCTCAATACAGATATAATGACAATGTGGAAGCAGTGAAATGATCCATGATGATCTGAACAACCAAACAGCTGTAAAGAGGAGTTTCCTTAGGATTCAAATATTAACATCTTTTATCTTACAAAACATAAAAGAGGAAAATAGTGAGCAGAGAACTGTGGGCATCGACAAGAAAAGTGCCAGGAGCAGGATCTTAGAGATCCACGTTTCTTCATAAGGGAATCCATGACACTGGGAATTGCTAAGACTGCAGAATCTCCAAGGACAGGTGGTGGGAGGGAAAAAAGATTTTTCCTCCACAAATGACAGAGAAAGTACCTTCTCTTACAGCTGACATCCAAATTTGGACATCTAGCCTCCTAAATGTAGGAGAATCCATTTCTGTCTGTTAAAGCCATCCCCTTGTGCTAACTAAGACAGTTATGTATAAAATTAAACCCACTGACAAGTTGATTCTACTCACGATCACCCACAGAACAGAGCAGAACTGTTTCAAAGGACTTCTAAGTCTGAAACTGTTAGGAAGTAGACTGCCACAACTTTCTCCCTCAGAGGGGCTGGTAGTTCAAACCACTGCCTTTCCATTAGCAGTGGAGAGCTTAACCACTACACCAGCAGGGCTCCTTGTCAAGTGAAAAAGGACAAATTCTTAATGGTGGTCATCTTAAGAGATGGGAAGTGATGGAACTTTTTAAAAAAAAAATTTCTAAATATCATGTTGGGCATATATGAATGGGAAAAATAACCATCCCGTGCCCACATTTTCCCGGGATGTCCAATCTTATAGGCAGATTTCTCACACAGGCTTCTGACACTGTTCCCACTTTCCCACCACACTCAAACCTCAGTGTTCTGAGCACAGCCTTTTTCTATTGTACAGAGAAAAAACAGAAGCTGTCAGTGGAACTGCCTCAACTTTGTGATCCTAAACCCACCCTAACCAGTCTTTCTTCCTGAAGCCAAGCACTCCCCTCAAAGCCATCCTCTCTGACACCCACTTGAAGGACCTGTGTCATCCAATCACCACCTCTCCTCATCCATGTTGTTCTCAGGTGCTGTCAACAACTTGTAGCAACTCTGTGGGTAACAGATCTGAATCTTGTCCCATCCTGTGCCATGCCCATCATCTCTGATATCCTTGAGTCCACAGACACTGTCTCCACGGCAACATATATATTTCTTCTCGAACAGCTCCCATTGGCATTTGAATAAGCTTATTTGAGAAGTTGGTCCTGAGAAAGGATCAATTATCTCCCCCTCAGTTTTGCTTAAGGCAATCCTCAAGCTACTATCACCTGGCTTCTGCTCTCTATTTGCTATTGTAGTAGTCTTATAAAATCCAATGGACCACTAAAGAAGTTAATCTTGGAAAGCTGTTAACAGTGCCTATGTGCAAAGTTTAGATGAAAAAGTAAAAAATTCCACCCAGTGGGCCCATCCTCAAAGGTTAACAGGCAAGCACTTAACCACTACACCACCAGGGATCATCTGGTCCATCCTCAAATGAAAAGGCTGGGCTTTGCACAAAACACTGGCAAGCGAATGTGGATCTTTCACACTTTAGATACAAACAGAATACTCAACGCAGGTAGGTTAAAAAAAAAAAATCAAACCCGATGGGATCCTTTTTATTCCACTTCACTCGAGACTTTGCTGCAGGGTCAGCTCTTGCTGAAATACCGTTTCCCTCTAACTTCTGGGACACCCTCCTGGTTTCACTTTTATCACCTATAGCTCTTCTTCTGACTTCTTGTCCTATGTCCTTCCCTTACAGACAAAATTCCTCAAGACTTTGTCTTTATGGACACAAACTCACCGTCTTTCAGTTACCATTAGAAACCAGGGGCTTCTTAAATGCCTGTATCCAAACAAGCTGAGGGCCCAAACATCAGAATCGAATACAAATAGTTGCCTGTATATTCCGCAGGTTCTTTAATTAGTATATATTCAAAATATAACTCTTCATATTAGAAAGGGGTTAATGTGCACTCTTTCGCCTCTGTGACCTCAATGACCCACACCATGACTGCTCAAAGCTCTCACTACAGACTTTGGACACATTTGTTCATACCTCACCCAAGCCCACTTCTTTCAGAATAATTTTCTAAAGAATAATATTTCCAAAGTATAAGCGTGGCCATGCCACTTCATTGCCTAAAAGGCCTCAGAAGCTCACTCTCCAGTGTCCTCAAGGCAATGTCAACATATTGGGTGGCAATTCTTAAGGTGTGAGAGCTGCTTCAGTTCAGAGGTGAAATTCTTCTGAAGCTTTTTCTTTAGTGCTACCAGTGGCTACAAGGCTCCCTGGACCCCCCAGGACTTCACACCTCCTGGTTCTAAGGCCCCACCACACCTGCTGGCCCACAGGTACCTCTCTAACTGGATGAAGCTTCCAGACAGCCCTTAGGCATCTGGTACAGGCTCACCATTATATCATATTGCAAATAAAAGTGAAAGCAAACTGTGAAAAGAAGTATGTAACATTCCTCACAAAGAGAGCTCGGGATCATACAGACAGTATTTTGTAAAGTTGACCCATGTTTATTAAAATACTACTGTTTAAGTAAAGGATCAGTAATCAGTAGTTACAGTAGTCACTGTTTAAAATAATTTGCAATTATCACTAAACTGATGTATACAGTTCTTCATTACTATTATGTGAAATACAGTAATATAGTATAAATAAAGTTATATTATGCTAAGGTGTGCCTGATCCAAGCCATGGTCTTCTTAATTACTTGCTATGCATCAGAGAGCTGGACAATGACTAATGATGACAGAAGAAGAACTGACGCTTTTGAGTCCTGGTGCTGGAGAAGAAGAGTCTTGAACATACCATGGACCGCCAAGAAACAAACAAGTCTGTCTTAGAGAGCATGAAACCAAGTTCCTCCTTGGAGGCTATGATTTTGAAGCTCTGTCTCACATACTTTGGGCATGTGACCAGGAGAAACCAGTCCATGGAGAAGGACATGCTTGGAAGGGTGGAGGGACAGCTCAGGAGAGGAAGACCCCAGATGAGATGGTGTGATACAATAATTCAGGCAATGGGCGTAGGAGCGTTGTAGTCAGTGAGACTGGCTCAGGACAGGGCAGGCTTCAGAGCAGTTGTACAAAGGATTGCTTTAAGTCTCAGGTGACTCAATGGCACATAACAACAATAACAATACATGTATGAAAATTACATATTACACTATATATAAATAAAGCAATACTATATTATATATGTAAGTATGACACTTACAATATCACAGTCCTTTTTTCCATCTCGTTTAATTGGCTCATTCAGATCTTCTTGGCTTCGAAAACTAAACTTTTCAATGGCTTCTGTAACTCCACGCAAAGAACTATAGATTTCTTCAGAGTTCAGGTTCTCTGTGTCGTAGTCCAACATGCTAAAGGTAAAAAAGATTTTTATTTCTTACATTGAAGAATGGGCATCAATCACTTCTAGTAACTTAAGAAAGCAAGATATATTTATGGTTTTGTTTCTTCAGGTGATATGGATGAAAAGGAGTCATCTTTTGTTAGCCTATCACCATCAGACAATTGTACAACTACCTTATAAAATTTGGTCCTAAACACAATTACATTATCCATCAATAAGAAATCAGTGGGAAACAACAATAACCACAACAATGCAAGAACTCAAGAGTGATTATTAGTAATTGAATACACAAGATAATGAAAAGTAAAAAAAAAATAACTTTCATATCTTGAAGATGGGGAAAAAAAAAGAGTGCAGCTGTTACTGGTCTCAAATGTACAAACTAAGAGGAAAGAGCACTTCAAAATAAAGCTAGTATTACAAACAAATTTCAAGAACACAAAGGAAAAGATCTCAAAAGGCTGGGTTTATAGGCAATGCTCTTCTAATCAGTAATAGAAACTTACAAAAAGAAAACCTAGGACTCAGTCAGAGTTACCCTTCCAATGGTTCCCTATTCCTACCATCTAAGCCAGCAGCTTGCTGAATGTATCAGACATCCTCCATTTGAAGTTTTATAATAAAAGCAGATCTTACAAAGATGACTGATATTTTTAAAAGGACGTTTACAAACACTTCAAAAAGCAAGACATATTTATCCCTCAAGTAAAAGTGCTATCAATTGCTGTCCTTTTAGAGGGTTAGCAATGTAAAACATATTCTCAACTGTCTTCTAGTGTAACCCAGGGTGGCATCAAGTAATAGCGTGAAAGTACAAGGAAACAGACACAAGATCTTAAGAATAAGTAACTACTGCTGCACTTCATGGAATACTGCAAAGAAAAGCACAAGATGGATGTTATTGCTTTGTAGCATTGCATCACAACCAACCCACAGCTGACCCTCCAGCAAGTTTTTAGAGGCAGTAAATCACATGAGAGGAGACTGCACATCTTCCTCCTGTGGAGCAGCTAGTGGACTTGAACTACCTGCCTTTGGGTTGACAGCACAAGTCCTTACCACTAAGCCACCAGAGTAGGCTGGCAGCCAATCTACACGTATTTCATGTTGTTATGTACCATCAAGTTAGAATCAATTCATGACTCTAACAGGTTTTGGGTGGCAGTGAATCATGCAAGAGGAGAATGACCATCTTTCTCCTGCAGTGCAGCTGGTAGACTTGAACGATCTGCCTTTGTGTTGGCACCACAACTCCTTATCACTAGGTTACCAGAGCTCCTGAAATATGGATACGTTGGGAAAAAGAAAGCGAAACTTTTAGCAATCGTTATAACAACCATATACAGAAATGCACATATATAGAAAACTGAGCTTAAGTATCATTTGTTTCAAGAAGTGACCTGAAACAAGCTCAACCAGAGACAGGTAGGACAGTCTAGGAATCCTTGACCTCACACATGTCAGCATGCAACACTATCAAAGATAAAGTAAAACTATCCCTGTTCTTTAAAAGAGTGTTCTTTGTTCAAGTGAAGAAACTAGAAACTAACCACTGGTAGGAACCCTTTCTTAAAGGCAGTACCATCAATCCTGTAGAAACTACAGAGACAGTTCGTATATTTACAAACAACCAGAAATACTATCCTCTTTCCTATTTTAAAAGGTTTAGAAAGAACAGCAATGTAAGATTAAGGCTGATTCCACTTTATGTAGCCGGACTTCCACTGGTTTGAGATCACAATGATTTCCAGGTGTTTTCTAAAGCAAGGTTTTGCGGGAGCCCAACACTGAAATCACTCTTAAAGACGGAAGCTACTTGCCTAAAATTGCCCAGGCAGAACCTATTTTTCTTTCTTAGTGACAGAAAGGAAATACACATTCCAACTGTTCTTAGAGCAACTCATGAAAAAACATACTAACTCAAAGATTGATTCTGGCAGCAAATGAAAAGGAATGTAAAGCTTGAACACATATATAGCCAAAATTCCATGTAGATGACAGGAGGTGGGCTAAAAAAGTTTGGACACAATTCAAGATACCAACCTCTTCTGAGTTCACAAGGTTGTCTGCTATGTGGCAATCCAGAGGTAGTATCTCTTTAATGTGAAGAAAACAGGACTGAACAAGGGGTCTCTACCCCTCCTCTCTGAAAATAGCACAATACTAGCTTTATGTATGAGCAAAGGCATTTATACATCTGGCCAGTACACCAATGTTTACGTAGTAAGTCTGAATATGAACCAAACAAAAAAATATGTAAGATGTAAAAAAAAGTCATAAATACTTTTGACGGTAACAACCAAAAATAAGAGCACAGCTCATGCAACACCACCAAACAAGAACAAACTTGAAGAATGACAGGACAGGTAAGAGGAAGGTGGTAGAATGGTCGGCTTTTGAAGGGATGTCACAATATTATTTTCCATGTCGCTTCAGAAAATGTTACTGCTCAGGTAATTCATGGTGTCATTCTCAACCTGAACATTTTTAAGATATTTCATTTTGTTTGTGTATTTACCATTATAGTAGCCCTTTTAATATAATAAAAGTTTACAGAGACTTTGGATTTCCATTCACTCATTGTTGCACTTTTCTCCCTGCCCACTGTTCTTTCTTCTTACTTTCAATTAACAAACAAACAAAAACATCAAATTTAGGAATGCTATGTGTAGAGTCAACACACCCTGTGATGTTTACTAGTTTAAAGGTTGAACTACTCCCTTGGAATGAAGCTTAAAATGGAAGTGAGTTCTAGGTGAGAGAAATAGCTGCTTACCTCTAACAAGAAACAGACAAGACCACTCTTTTATGCTTTGTTGTCTTTTGTTTGAATCAATACCTACAGAAGCCTCATTTTGTAGAAGAGGATATTCATATGACTGGCAACATACAGGGAACTGCAGGTGACAGTGCTTGAAACCAGTGCACAAGAGCAGCTGAAAGGGACACAGCAGGTTCTCGAGAAGAGACAGAGTTAGATCCAGACCTGCTCAGCAGTCTGACTTACGGTTTAAAGGACGCAGCCTAGTCACTGTAAATACTCAGCTAAGACTCCAAAAGAGCTTCCTTAGGGCTCCTCCTTGAAGAGGACTTCATCAAGCAGCAAACATGTGCCAACTGAAGGTCAGGCCAAGACCCCAACACTGAAGCCGAGGAAATCTCCGTACCTGCCTGATAAAGGCCCCATATCACAGGTTTCAGGTCTCCAAAGAAACAGAAATTTGGGCAGGAAGAGGCTGCTACTTTGCTCTTCTGTAGGGAAAAGATGCTGTACGAGAATAATGTTGCTTGTGAAGGCAACAGCATTTTGGCATAGTGTAAGAGACAAGACTTCCGTCGTTTAGTTTTATGTAACTGACAGCTTTTCTAAATTAAAACATTCTCTAAAAAATATCGACGTCAAAGTATGAGACGAGGCTGTCATCTTTGCCTCCAAAGCATGAGAGATGAAGTTTTGCCATCTTCACACTTTTTCTAATGTTTGTTCTTTGGCAGTCCATGGGATAGTCTACACTCTTCTCCAACACCACAGCTCAAAGGCACAGCAGCCATCTAATTCACTGTCTGCTTAACATGTAGCTGTAGAAAAAATGTGTAGAAACATTCATTCTAAGATTCTCTTTACAACTTTTAGAGCTGCAAGAGTATCCAAAGAGCTCTGATTTCATTATGGGTTAATAAGTCAATAAGCATTCCTAAGCAAAAGCTGAGGGGCTGAGCAGGTAGAAGTAGCAGAAGTGGACATATTTTGATCAGCTGATAAAATGCGGCTAAATAATTAACATGTATAGTTTTGCTATACTGAGTATCAAAAAAGTAGGAATGCAAATCTCTCATGAAAAATCTAGCTATTAAGTATTTAAAAAGTCATACAAGACTTTTAGTAATCAGACTACTTTTAGTAGTCTAGTTTTCTCAGGGCATGCATGCTTACCTTACCAAACAAAATGAAGTGGCCCTGTCCTGGGCTCTGTTAGTACCAGCACAGCTACTCTGGGTTTTGAAACACGAACATCATCACTCAGTGGGTTCTCTTCTCTAGGTATCTGCATGGACCATTCTCTACACCACAGATTTACCATTTGCTTCCTCCCTATCGTCTCTTTCTAGACTCACAGCTTAACTATACCAGTGATCTTGAGCTTACTTGGCACCAATAAGGTGGCATCTGAGGATACTGCCAGCACACCTGCTTTCAGGTACGACACCTATAGTGAGATGCAACCATCAACACACCACTCAGAGCTTAATGATCATCTTTTCTGACCTGGTAGAAGCCAAATTCATGACTTCAAACAAACATGCTTTCACGCTCTCACCAAGGTTCTCCTCTTGTCCAAGCCAAAGCAGAGGTCAACAGTGGAGGCAGCTGAGAGGTTTTTAAAAAAACCTGAGACGACCTTGGAAACACAATATTGTGACACCTCAGATGAATGTAACAGGTAGAGTGTTACCTGGGAGAGTAAGAGCGCCTGAGAGTCTTGTGGGAAGGAGCGGTGGGGATTGAGTTAGGCTGAGAAAAGGGAGGTGGGTGCTTCGTTAACCCATCAGCACTCCAACCCCATAACCGACTGCAGTGATCAGAAGAGGAAAGTCAGAAAGAGAAACAAACACGCAAAGAGGGAGGGGTGGGGGGAAAGACACTAGATTCTAAGTGTCTTCACTAAGACTCTTTTCCTTGATTAAGTTCTATCAAAATTAATTAGTGTAAAATTAACTACTTCAAAATATAGAGCAAATCAACAAATTTCATTTTATAAGTTATTCTTCAGTTAGACTGCTTTATTCTTTCTTTGCCCTTCCAAATACAGAATATATTGATTTTAAAATAACATGTGATCCCAATCATATCTGTTTGAGGAAGGACATTATAAGCACTTAACCCACAAGAAAACATGGATACTGCTTGAAACAACTCATCAGTAATTTTAGAAAGAATCAAAGAAAGAATTATGGGGCCTTAATTCAAAGGTGACCAGAAATAATCCAATAGAAGAGCCAGAAAATGCGCTACAATCAAGTGGTGTCCAGCTGATGAAAGTGGTTTCTTTCTGTAAGAACAAAAGTCCAACTAACTGGAGGGCAAGGAGGTCCAGCCTCAGCTGGCTAGCTCAGAGAGTGGGAGCACCCAAACTCAAATTCCCCACTCCTATAATGTGAAATTTTAAATCTGGTGCAAAATGCAGGCCCTTCTCTCCCATTCACAGATGTTGCTAATTGACTGGCCTGACCTCACAGAGGCCCTGACAAATTCTAACTGCCATTCCAAAGAACTGAACCCGAGAGACTGAAAAAAGGGAGACCTCAACTGGCCAGGATCATGATATGAGGCCCCAGGGCCGAGAGTATGGCATCAGAGAGGGTATTCCTACGCCTTGTTTACCACTGCTTCTTAACAGTTCTAAGAGCTTGACTGGGAGGTGTGAAGCTAGTCTCTCCAAGGACAATGAAGGTCTCCATTTTGTAAGGAAATTAGGAAACTAAACAGCAGAAAAACCAGGCCACCAAGGAATAGAAAGCCTAGAGACTTTTTCTGAGGTACACATGGGTGAGCAGCACAGACTGGAGCTTTGTGGAGTACAGGACAGGGAAGACTCCCCAGCCTCTCCTCGCAGGTAAATTCCTGGGTTCTGTGTCGACTGTGATTCCGCAGAAAGACAAAACTGAAACCAACCTACAATTACTACTATTGCTAGGGAACACAGAGATTATCTCTACAGTGACATTTTGCTTCATGACATGTTTGCCAAGAATGCAGAAGAGAAAGGAAGAACTACATTTATGTACATATATATTTAAAAGGGAACAGACTTCAAATGATGTCTGAAGTCCTTTTCTACCGTTTTCTAATCATAAATTCACACCAGGTAAAATGTAAATGTGTTTCATGACAGAAAATGTCCTAGCCTAAATCTATCCAAATACCTAATATAGTTGTTTATTAGCTGATAAAAAGCAGGAATTCACCCTCACACAGGAAAAACAATTAATGGAGTGTTTTATAAAAGGAGAACCTATTATAGCTTCTATAATACAGCTGGCCTGATGAAAATTGCTTCCTGACTAACTATATTCTAAAAGATTATCAAATTAGATTTATTCTTCATTTTAGAATATTTTATTACCATGATCTGAAGGTAGACATTTTGATTTGTAGAAAGTTCATTCTGATGCTGAAGTATGATTAAAAATTAACAACAGGTGATAAGTTTTCTCTTTTAGAATGAAAAGCTAACCTTATATATGGCCTAGAACACTGAAAAGAACAAGATCAAAGAAAATTCATTTTGAGAGCATTTCTCAGGAAAACAGTTGAGATTTATATACTGTAGAACTTACTACCTCCTCACAGTGTTAGAATACAGACATTATTTTATTTCATGTAGGAATTAATTTCTTTTATAGTTACTTAATAGAAAATAAGTAGCCTATTTGAGTATTTCTAAGGCCATAATTATATAAGCTAGTTTTAACCACAAAAGGACAATTTCTGTTTTAAGAAAAATTCTTTCTCTTTTAAGTTCACGTTTATAAAATGGCTAATGATGCTAAAAAAAAAAAATTAAAAAATAAAATCTCAATCTCATTGCTGTTGAATCAGAACCAACTCATAGCGGACCCTCCCATGGTTTTTCAGAGACAGTACTGCACAGGAAGAGACTGTCCATCTTACCCCCACAAAGCACTTGGTGTCCCTGAACAGCCTGCTTTGGGTTGGCTGAGTAACTCCTTACTCACTAAGTGACTAGAGCACGCAATACAAAAGGGAGTAAACCTCAAAACACTACACATTCAATATTGCAGAGTTTGTTCACAATATTTAGAACAAACTTACTTTCTTCCTTCTTTCACTAACCCGTATTTCTAACAATAAAAACCGAGGTCATTATCACTCCAGGATCACAATTTAGGAGAAATGGGACTTAGAAACAGAAATTAAAATTCTTAAATATATAGGGATCCATGAAAATTAGATTGAGTCGATTCTTAGCTTTGCCAAATTACATTGGCAGACCCCACCAAATTTTACTTAGACTACTAGCAGATAATTAAAAACTTAATGCATATGTAAAAAAATAATTTGAATGTGCCATCTAGCAGTGAAATCACTATGAACTCTGTATTATGGAAGAAAAAATTTCCTAGTTACTACTAGATAATGGCAACAATGTACAGAGAACCTAAGATTTCCACACATTACCCTATTAGGAGGAAATACACTATTGTTTTACTAGCAACAATGCACCCTGGTGACTAAAGATAAACTATGTCTCTTATGTACCAGTGTTAGTATGAAAAAAAAAAAAAGGAAAAAATAAAGAAACAAAAGAAAAACCAGCTGACTGAACCTCTGTCAGATCTGGGTAAATCAGACTTTCCCTGGCCTACCCCATATGGAGTTCTTTTACCAACCCAAAGGTCATGACTCTGGCGGTTCAAATTTACCAGCACAAGAAAGAGGAGTCATCTTCCCTGTGTTATTTACAGCCTCAGAGACCAGCAAGAAGTGTGTGTTTGTTCTGTTTTGAAAGGAATGGCAATATAAATCGTAAAGCACTACAGGATATAAAGGAGACCTGGTGGTTAAAGTACTCAGTTTCTCAACAAAAAGACAGCGTTCAAATCCACTAGCTGCTCCATGAGAAAATGATGTTGTAGTCTGATTTTGTAAAGCAGTTCTCTATCCTGGGGGTTGCTATGAGCTGGAACTGATAGTACAGCAGCAGTTTTCAATATAGGTATATGTACAAGCATAACATGTTCCAATACTTTTAGAATATTTTGAGAAACTAAAGTTCTGCTGGTCAGGACAGAGTAGCAAACTTTTAAAATATGAATTTAAAAACACTTAAGTTGGGTTTTTTTGTCCATAATTTCATTTACTTGGATGCACAATCAACACCCACAGACACAGCAGTCAAGAAACCAAAAGATTGAGAAAATCAGCTTTCAAGAACATCTCTAAACTTTTGGGTTGGTTTTTTTTCTACAATCTTTATTTACAGTTCCACCATTAGAAGAGCAGTAGTTCTTCAAGTGTGTGATTTTTTAAAAAATTGAGATTTTAATGAAATATTATAGAGAACTTGGATTTCCATTCATTCAATGCTGCATATTTTCCTCCCTGCCCACCCTCCCCCAACCCCAGTTTGCTTTTATGAGGGGGGGAAAAAAATCTTTCATTGTTATACAGATCTCCCCCCTCTCTTGGTCCACTTTACTATGCAGTTCTTATTCTGGACTCTTGCCATGAAAATAATACCTAATCATATACCCCTTTTAAACAGTTCTCTTCCTCATCTGCTTTAATGCAGTGTACATTGTTTATCTCTTCTTTTTAGTTTCCCCCCCAAACCCAACCCAATGTCAGTCCTGTTTTATAGCAGAAACATTATGTAATATTTGTCCTTTTGTGATTGAGATATTTCATTCAAAATAATGTCCTCCAGGGCCACCCATTTTGTATAATGTTTCATGAGTCCCTTGTTTTTCAATGCTGCGTACTATTCCATTTTGTGAATGTACCAGTTTCTCTATCCATTTGTTTGTTGATGTGCACTTGGGTTGTTTTCAATGCCTTGCTATTGAAACATAGCAGCAATAAACATACCTATGTTTATATAAAATGTGTGCATATAAAATTTTTTCTATCATCTTACAAAATAGATAACTGTTAAAAGGAAAAAATGGTACATGTACAGTATTCTTTTTCTAAAACATTACTATCTTGATGTAACCCAGAGGATAAGTGTCTCCTGATTTTAACTGTCAGTGATTCCAATAGCTGTCCCTGTGGCCAATCACAGCACATGTGACTTGTGCAGGTCCAAATATTGGCTCCTTCCTCAAAGGAAGGATCTTCAGTACACATGCAGTGTTGGTTTAGGATAATTCTAAAGTCTCTGGCCACAGGGGTGTCACCCAAAGATTCTGAGATGCAGCAGTTTCTCTTTTGAATTAATGTATAGGTTCTTGAAGGAAGAATATCTATAGGACATCTTGAAAGAAGAGGTCGTAATGTTAAGTCTGAAAATCCTAATCTTATTTTAGTTCTTAGGTTCTAAATCATAGTTATTTAACAGTTAACATTTGACTTCAAATGCAAGCTCACATATTGAAGTCAAATAGCCTTGCAGAGGCCACATGGTTGGAAAATGGACCCTGACTTGGTATAGCTGGACTGATTATAAAGAGTTTATGTACAAGACCAAATATTTTCATGTTTTCCCATCATTTAGAGAATAGGTGACAACTATCTGTATTTTCGACATTAAAATTTTAGGTAACATAGAACTTAATTTTAAGACTTAAAATCTGTAAGTACTAGAATATATACAATCTAAGGTACTAAAAGAGTGTTCAGAGCTCAAAAGAATTCAAAGAAGGGGAAAAAAAGAATTTTAGTATCAACTGCTCAGTTACCACACAACTCTATAACACTGACCAAGACAACACAGTTATGATCTGAATGAGGACAGAGCTCCTACTCTCCTGAGATCCAACTTTCTTTCGGGTTATTAAGCTTGGTCTCAAAATCTAGAAATCGGTGTGGCCTTTTTGTTCACTTCTGTGGAAATGACTTTACCTTGGAGATAGACCTCCATGGGAACAGTTGGTGGGTGAAGTCAGGGGGCTGGTTCTGCTGCTGGTGTGTCTTGAAGGAGTCCGGCCAATTGTATTGCTCGGTGAGCCCTGGACAAAGGCAGAATATAAGCACCATTATTCAAGGAGTGTATGTAGACTATAGCCCCACTCTTTCCTTTACGTTTTAACTTATATGAAAACAAATGGTACAATCAGCATAATTTTTCTCTCCCCTCTCCTAGAATAACAAGGTCAATTTCAAGGACATATAAGCAAAAAAGTGCTTAACTTTTACAGGCATTCCTAGAGGACTGACAGTGGTTAAGCTAGAGTGTCATATGGTAACTGGGTATTTGCATTTTGCAATGTTAAAATGTAACAGTAACACAATAAATGAAAAACTAATCACAGTGTCTATAAGGAAAAAGTCACATTTAAATACCAGATCCTTTCACTTATTCATTTATATAATGCTTACATAGGAACTACAAACACAGCAGGATCAGACATGGCTTTATCCTTGAGAAGTTCATAATTTACCATAAAAGACCAAGAATAAAGGCTACTTGATTAGAGGAGATTCCAGAAACATACATGCAGAAACCACCAACCATGCTCCACTGCACTCACCACACTGGTGTTGCTAGAATTTTTGAGGTGGTTATGTAAGAGTTTTGTGGCACCATCTTGGAATGTTTTTGGCAAGGCACCAAGTAGCATTGTAAATTCAGGAGTGTTCAATTCAAAGAGAGAGATGAGCACAATTTGTGCGGCCTAGAAAAAGAAGGCATGACCAAGTTATGTGATGTACAATGAAGGAATTTTAAAGAAAAGACTTTTAAACATATCACCAATAACGGAACACCATTCACATACAAAAGAAAAAACAAAAAACATGTGGAAAAATGTAACAGCAATCATAGCCAGATTTTTATCTAGAAACATAAACCCTAGTCGAATTTTGACTCTTTGGCCTTGGATTTCTAAAGTAAAATGAATGATAAATTTTTGTAACGTTTCATTTGTGTCTGGTACCACAAAGAAGATGGTAAATAGCTAAATGAAGCAGTTGGAGGGGGGAACAAAAAAAAGACAGTTTAAGATATTCCGCACTCTTTAAAGTCAGAACTAGCCAGGATTCTGACCCTTGCCCAGAAAGAACAAGCTTCTAAATGAGCTGTGCTTGGTTATCGTGAGATACTGTTGTCTCCTAGTCCTTCCTCAGGTACCCTAGAGGATAGCACAGACCTGCTGTTATGAAACACTCTAAAGAAAGACAAAGTTGGAATATATCGCAAAAGCACCTATGTCTATATATACGAACCAGAGAGACAGAGTCTTTGGGAAGTCAGCAAAGTATTAGAAGGGACAAGTGCTCATTTGCTTTTTGGAAACCATTCTACTCATTATTGTGACAATATGCTGCAGCAAAATAGGAGAAAACATTTAGCTGAAATAACAACCAAATGAGTCCCAGCCATTCAAATAATGAGCTTTCAATAGTACTAAACAAACTGGGATTACACTACAAAGCCTCACAGAATTAATGCAGATTACCAGAATTTTGATTCAGAAAAACTACATCAAGGAATATTTCTGTTAATGCTAACCGGCATCTTTTATAAATAAATAAAAGGGCAAATGACAAATAGGAAAACACATTATAAAAAGTGATTTCCATTTATCTAATATTTTATTTATTTTTCCTTTATGTATTTATTTTTTTATAAAGATGATAATAAGATTGAAGTATTATGAATTTTTCACATAATATGAAAATGCTTGCTGGGAAATAAAGACGTTAAAATATTTCAATAACAAATCTACTATTTTGTGTTTGAAGGTGTGGATGATAATACCCAAATGTATTTAACCAAATTTAAAAACTAATGACAAACCTAAAAGTATCTCTAAAAAAAATTTTCTATTTTTAACATTTCCAAAGGTTTCCTTAAACATCACTGAGCAAGTAAATACTGTGTTGTTTTCCTTATATCTTAAATATAATTATTAGTAGTTTTTCCATTAAAATTAAAAGTGCCAATGTCCTTTTTTTTATTATTATTTTTTAAAATTTTATTATTTTTGTGTGAGTGTACCGTCAAATCAGATCTCACTGGTACAGGAGGACATTGTCCCTCCTTCCCCGGCAGAGCATCTGGTGGATTCGAACCATGCACCTCTGGGATTGTAGTTGCAGCTCCTTACCACTAGGCCACCAGAGCTCCCCTAAAAGTGCCAATGTCCTTTTAAGATGCAAGTTTAAAAGAAAACTAGCAATATGTGTATAAGGATCCAAGGGGCGGAGAGTCAAAATGGTGAGGTTGGGTAGGGGAGTAACAATCTGATGGATAGAGGGGGGGGTGGGTAAAGAAAAATGAGAAAGATTCGGTGTGAAAACCAATGTACACGAACTTTGTAAGTAAACCAGTATAAAATTAAAAATTTTATTTAAAAAGAAAAAAGATACAAGTTTAAAAATGGATCAATAATGCTAAGATAGAAGTTTCTACATTTTTAATATTTTCAATAAACCATTATCTGAAACGATTTCACCACAAGTTTAATGTACTGTTGACATTATTTGATTTGTGTATGGTTAAATTTTACTTAAACACAACAAATTCAGAAAATCATGCAAAGTAGTCTATGTATTTAAAAATATCTTACTGAAAACAATCTAAGCTCTCCTCCTGGACTTTGGAGGACAAGATTCTTAAGGCAAAATTTCAGACTGCCTTTTTGCATAGCTTCTGGAAATTTATTGTGGCAGATCTTTGTTTTCTCGCCCTATCTTTAGTCCCCAACAGACTGACACTACATACCCCCAATGTCTTAGTGTTCACAGCTGTTCAAATTACTGGAACCTCCTAAGAGGTGGGCTCACCCAGATGTGTAGTTTTATAAAGGACTGTTATAACAAAAAAAAAAATCTTACTGAATGTCAGAAAGGTGCATGCACTTTTAAAAAAAAATTTCTTATTAATGTCAATTAAAATTTAGAGACCCTGGATTTCCATTTATTCACTGTTGTACTTTTCTCCCCTCCCGACCCCCCCGCCCCAGTAACTACCCTCTTGGAAAAGTAAAAGAAAAATTCTTTCATTGTTTTACAGTCCCTCCCCCCCAGGTCCACTCCACGATGCAGCCTTTGCTCTGGACTCCTGTCATCACAAAATACCTAATAACGTATCCCTTTTAAACAGTTTTCTCCCTCACCTGTTTCAATGCAGTATACATTACTGAACTCATCTTTCTCAGTCTCCCCCTAACCGCGAGGTCAGTCCTGTTTTACAACAGTGGCACCATGCAGTATTTGTCCTTTTGTGACTAAGATACTTCACTCAGCATAATGTCCTCTGTGGTCACCCATTTTGAACAATATTGCATGAGTTCCTTGTTTTTCAATGCAGTGTAGTATTACATTGTGTGAATATACCACAGCTTCTCTATCCATTCGTTTGCTGATGGGCACTTAGGTTGTTTCCAACTCCTTGCTATTGTGAACAAAGCCGCCATAAACATGGGTATGCATATATCTGCTTGAGTGGCAGTTATGGCCTCTTTGGGGTATATTCCCAGTAGTGAAATTGCTGGGTCAAATGGTATCTCTATTTGCAACTTTTGGAGAAAGTGCCATACTGCCTTTCACAGTGGTTGCACCATTTTACACTTTCACCAACAGTGAGTAAGGGTTCCAGTTTCTCCACAACCTCACCAGCATTTGCTGCTTGCTGTTCTGGTAGATTTTGCTATTCTGACTAGGGTGGGATGATATCTCATAATTGTATGCACTTTCTTGGCTGGTTGTCTTTTTATTTTCTCTTTCCAAGTTTTAAATATGTTATCCCATTGCTTTCCTGCCTGAATTATTTCTACTTAGAAATCAGAGCTTTATTTTGTTGATGTCTTCTGTAGATGACTCTTCGTTTTTCCTGAGCTTCTTTCAGTATTCATCGTCTTTTATGTTAGACATGTGATTAGGATATGTATGTCACATACATTATTCCTCATGATGTTGTCCCACATAGATCTTATGCTTTCTTCAGACTGTTTTCTTTCGAGTGTTCCTCTGATTAGTATTGAGTGTGTCTTCCAATTCTTGTTTCATTTCTTTGATTCTACTCTTTATCCTTCCAATGCATTATTTATTTACTATAATTTTAGTCTTAGTATTTTTTCACATAAGGAAGCATTTGAGGTTTAATATGAAATCATAAATAAAATTTTTATCAATACAAATCCACATCTAGTCAAAACACCACAAAGGACAAAGTAAAAAAATAAAACCTATTGGCAGGTAGATAAACTCAAAGGCATCAACTCTCTTTCTATCCTCCCTAGTCACTGTCCAGATTTCTGATGCATAGCAAGTACTGGTAAAGACCATGGCCTGTATCAGGTGCACCTTAGTCTCAAGACTGACACCGTTGTTTCTCATTATCTTGGAGAGTTCTCTGACAGCAGACTTTTCAAATGCAATTTGTCTTTTAATTTTCTGGCTGCTGGTACCAAGAGTGCTGATTGGAGACCCAAGCAAACTGAAGCTGTCAGCAATCTCAATCTTTTCACCACCTATCATGATGCTGCCAATTGGCCCACTGATGAGAATCTTTGTTTTGACGTTGAGCTTCAATACATATTGAAGGCTGCAATCCTTAACCTTCTGCAGCATGCGCTTTAGGTACCCCTCAGTTTCAGCAAGCAGGGTTGTGTCACCTGTTTAACCCAGACTGTTGATGAGTCTACCTTCAATCCCGATGCCACACTTCTCCTCATAGATCCTAGCCTCCTGAATAATCTGTTCTGCATACAGATTGAAAAGATATGGAGATAAGACACATCCTTGATGCACAACCTTCCCAATTTTGAACCATGCAGTGTTTCCTTGCTCTGTTCTGACGACTGCTTTCCTGGTCCAAGTATAAGTTTTGCGGAAGCACAATCAAATGTTCTGGGATTCCCATTCTTCTCAAAGTCAGCCAGTTTGTTGTGATCCACACAGTCAAATGCCTTTACATAGTCAATGAAACACAGAGAGACATTCCTCTAGAACTCTCTGCTTTCAGCCAAGATCCATGTGGCATTAGGTTTAATAACCCTAGTGCCACGGCCTCTTCTAAATCCAGCCTGCACTTCAGGCAGCTCTGTGTTTAATGTGCTGTTCCAGTAATTTTTGGATGAGCTGTGGGAGGATCAAGACTATCATCCAGGAAGAACGCAAAAGGTCATTACAAAGACGAAGAAACTCTTCATATTGCATTGGAGTGCCGAGAAGCCAAAGCAAAGGGAAGAAATCAAGATATTAAGGAGCTGAACAGAGATTTTAGAGGACAGCAAGGGAAGACAAAGTAAAGTATTACAACGAAATGTGCAAGGAGCTGAAGTCAGAAAATGAAAAGGCCCGAACTTGCTCAGCATTTCTTAAGCTCAAGGAACTGAAGAACAAATTCAAACCTCAAGTTGGAATACTTAAGGATGCTTTGGGCCCAATATGAAATGATTCGGGAAGCAATAAAAGATGGAAAGAGTATACATAGTCTTTGTACAAAAGGAATTGGTGGACACAGAAGAATTTCATGAAACAACATATGAACAAGAGCCTGTAGTGATGAAGGAGGAAGTTCAAGCTGCTCTGAAAGAACTGGCAAAAAACAAGACCCCAGGAATGATGGCATACCGGTTGATTTCAACAAACAGATGCTGCCCTGGATGTGCTCACCACGTTGTGCCAAGAAATCTGGAGGACAACCACCTGGCCTACTGACTGGCAG